AAGAAGAACAAAGATGTATATGAATTGATAATATAAATATAGTAATAATTGAAGTTATACATTGTGGAATCAACACAACGACTGCAACAAAAATAAGGTTTCAAAAATGGCCTCAATTACATTCAGAAAGAAATCTAATAGCATTTGATTCCACAGGCCCTTGTTGTGGTTTCCAAACTATTCAGTAGAAGATGTTCTCGAATTTGTAATGCTTCTGTTTCTTCAAGCCATGATTTTGTTTCAGCCTCACAATCTATCCTTTCTACCATGTATATTATCACATCCACGACAGTTACAACTTGGAGAATCTCATATTTCTTGGAAATGGAATTCAAAGATGTCGAAGAAAGAGTTTTCTTGCATCAAACGAAGTATGCTCAAGATATATTGAAGAGATTCAATATGAGCAACTGTAAGGAAGCTGTTACTCCATTAGAAACAGGAGCAAAGCTGAAGAAGGAATCGAATGATGAGTTTGTAAGTTCGACCCTTTTACAAACAAATCATTTGATCCTTAAGTTATCTTTGTAATACTAGACTAGATATTTGCCAAATTGTAGGATTGTTGAGCAGATTTATGGAGAAGCCTCAAAAATGTCATCTCATTGCAGTAAAGAGAGTGTTGAGATACATCAAGGGAACCATTGATCATGGTGTGTTGTTACTAGAGAAGTCGAAGAATAATACAGATGTCGAAGTGCAAGGATACACTGAATCAGATTTCAATGGAGATCAAGACGAAAAGAAGAGTATTGTAGGCTATATTTTCATGATCGAAGGAGCTCCAATCTCTTGGAGTTCGAGGAATCAAAGCATTATGACTTTGTCATCATGTTTAGCAGAATATGTGGCTGCATCATATGCTGCATGCCAAACAACATGGATCGAAATGCTACTAGAAGACCTCAGAAAAATGGAATTGAAGATAAATCTGTTTGTTGATAACAAGTAAGCTATAAACCTTTCAAATCACCCAATCTGTCATGGTCGAAGTAAGCACATTGAACGAAGGTATCATTTTCTAAGAGATCAAGTCAACAAAGGGAAGCTTGAAATAAAATATTGCAAGACAGAAGTGCAACTAGCTGACATATTCACGAAACCTCTGAAGAAAGTGAGATTCGAAGAGTTAAAGAAAGGATTTGGATTGAGAAGTCTTGATAACATGAATTAGAGGGTGTGTTAGTTGGTTAATTCTTGTTATGTTATTATTTGGGCTTTTAGCATTTTTGGGCCTGAGCTATTTTGCCTATATATAGGGCCATTATATTTGAAATGAAAGTAGTAGCAACAACAATAACAAAATTCAGTTTTAAAGTTAGTTACACTTAACTAACTCAACTCTCTCTCTCTTGTTGTTGTTGTTGTTGTTGTTTTTCACATTATTCATCTTTCTTGAATCCTTTGTTCCAACAAATGCTGCAAATTAAAATAGTAATTTTAAATTTTTTATATATAATTGGAATTTATCATTTGTAATTAATTGTCAGTATTTCACCTATTAAAATGTTTTTCTCTTCTTTTAAAGTTTAAAAATAAATTTACTTAAATGTAATACGGAAAAAATGTGTTATTTTTTACGATTATTTATGTTACTAATATATAGAAATGAATGTGATAAATATTTATAAGTGAAAAATACTAGACAAACATACATAAATAATATATGAGTTGAATAACATTAAAATTATATGTTAATATAAAAGATTCATAATTATTTTATGATCATCAAAACAAATATATTTTATATATATATATATATATATATATATATATATATATATATATATATATATATATATATATATATATATATATTCATTTTACTAATTGTGTGAATTTTATAATAATAAATATTTTATTAATTAAATCAATTACATGAACTTAAACACAAATAATAATAATAGAATGAACACACCAGTACTCGTAAAAACACACGCGTATTCATATCAAAATTCGTGAAAATTAAGGATTATTGTTTTTATTTGTACAATTTAGAAACATATGAGTGTAATGGATACACATACTAACACACGGTGTCTAGATCAGAATATTTGTGAATCGACAAGTTATTATATTTTTTTATACAATTTCTAAAAATATAAATAAAAATATTTTAAAAAATGTATGCATCTAAACACGAGAAGAATTTTTTTTTTAAACTATTTATGTTATTAATATTATTATTTTGATTTTTTAATTTAAGATACAAATTTTTTAAAGATATATATATCAAAATTTAATATATATATATATATATATATATATATATATATATATATATATATATATATATATATATATATATATATATATATATATATATATATATATATATATATATATATATATATATATATATATATATATATATATATATATATATTAATGTAAAACAATTTTAGTAAAAAAAATTAATTTTCTTTTAAAAATATGAATTTTTTTTAAATAATAAACTTTTTTAGTAAAACAATTTTGTTTTCCTTATTTATATTTGTATTACATTTTGAAAATAAAAGTGTGTACCACACCATTACTAGTGTGAATGCACGGGTAATACACTAGTACTGAATGTACGAGTAACCATATCAGAATTCGTGCGAATCCACCGGTTATTTTATTTTTTTACAATTAAAGAAAATAAAAGTAAATATATTTAAAATAAAACTATAATAATGTGTTATTTTTTAATTATTTATGTTACTAATAGTTTTGTTTTGACATTTTTTTAATAATTTAAGATAAAATATTTTTAAAAATAAAATATATATTATTGATGCAAAATAATTTTTATAAAACAATTTTGTTTTTATTTTAAATATAAGTCTTTCTTATAAAAATAATAAAAATCTTAGTAAAATAATTTTTGTTTTCTTATTTATATTTTTATTACATTTTGCGAACAAAATCGTTCGTACCACACTAATATATTTCTTATTTCGTGGTGTAGTTGTTTTTAATATTATTATTGTTTATTCAGTGAAGATTTTATATCAAGCTTCTTGTTATCATATTTATTTTTTAATATGTTTTTATATTTAATTATCCTATTTATTTTACTAATACTAATTTCACATATTTTTTATTTAATTAGATTTTTTTTCTAATTAGAAAATAACTTGTCACAATTACGTGTAACACAACATTATTTGTGCAATTGTTTATCATAAATTTAATGATAAAAATATTAAATATTAACGGGAACATGAAATAATTGATCAAACTTATAAATATCAACGAGAACATAAAATTACTAATTAAAATATTTAATAATAACGAAAATATAAAATTATTAATCAAAATATTGAATAATAACGAAAACATAAATTTATTGATAAAAATATTGAATAATAATATAACAACTTAACTATTGTTTTAAGTATTTTTTTACAATAATTCAAAAACAAAAATAATATTTATATATAAAAATATATATTATTGATTCAAAATTTTTAATATATTGAAAGAATTATAGACACCGATTTATTATCTCTTTTAAAAAAATTACAATTTATTTTTATATATTTTGGGAATAAATGTGCATATCAATCTTCCTTCATATCTTCATAATTATTTGTTCATATATTTTTTATTTAAGTATCCTATTTATTTTTTATATAAAATAAACCATCGAAAACAAATTAGCGTACCACACTGGTACTAATGCAAACGTACAGATATTTTGCTAATTAGATCAATGGATATCTGAGATACATTTCTAAATTCGCCTCAAAAAACTTTAGAAATATAATTTCGAACTAAATTTTTATAAAAAATTTAGATTTAATACATTAAGATATACATTTTCAAAAAATATAAAATATTTTGAGAATTTGATGCAGGATCTGAGCTAGTTACAACAAAAATATGCATACCTTAAACTCTTGTATACTATGTTAGTTTACTTAAATTTCCGCAAACTCAATTTACGTACATATATTAGCATTCAGTTCACCTAAATTTTAAACTTAGAACTTCAAACTACATGCATGTGAATTGAGTTTCCCACGTTTAAAAACGGAAGAAAAAAAATGGAAACCAATTATCGCATGTTTAAAAACCTAGAAATTTATTCATTTACACAATAGAGTGATTTTGTGATTCAATCTTTAATTTTTTATTGAATTTGATCACATGTCTATATCTATGGAGGCTTGTGAGAGAGATGAGGCGGAGATTTAGAATGACAGTTAAACTAGTCTTGCAATTTCTATATTTAGAATGATAGATAAACTAGTTTTACAATTTCTATATTATTTTAAAAATTTAATTAAATTTGCGAGTAATTGGATACTTTTAGAGTCTAACTAAAAGCAATGTTTTATTTTATTTTTCATCAATAAAATGATTTGTATTATTAGTCCTTCTTGTTTAGGCCCAAGTAAATCTCTTAAGCGTTATGATTTTAGATTGTAATTCTTACTCATCTTAAAAGGTTTAAATTAGTGAAATATTAAACAGTTTTTGTGTGAACTTAGTGTAAGAGAAACTTAGGATGTGTAATTAAGTGTAAACTCATACTTAATTAATTGAAGGACAAAAAAACCATATGTGAGCAATGTAATTAGTGAGGTTTAAAAAATGGTCCGCGACAGCGAAATCGGCTGTGACAAAATGGTTTTGAAAAATGCCGCCGATATGGATATTGTTATCACTATTTTTTATATTAAAAAATAAATTGTGGTTAACTCACACCGCGATGACGGCAACCATGACGTGATTTTGCGATCGTTTTTTAAACCTAACTAGCAAGAAAGAAGAACAAAGGTGTATATGAATTGATAATATAAATATAATAATAATTGAAGTTATAAATTATGGAATCAACACAACGACTGCAACAAAAATAAGGTTTCAAAAGTGGCCTCAATTACATTCAGAAAGAAATCTAATACCATTTGATTCCACAGTCTCTTGTTGTGGTTTCCAAACTATTCAGTAGAAGATGTTCTCGAATTTGTAATGCTTCTGTTTTTTCAAGCCATGATTTTGTTTCAGCCTCACAATCTATCCTTTCTACCATGTATATTCTCACATCCACAACAGTTACAACTTGGAGAGCAACCAACACCAGCCTTCAAAACAAAACCACCAATTATAATTCGTATTATAAATGAAAATAAAACTTTACTACATGATATTATATATATTTAACAATGGAGAAAACCTTAAAACATTCGCAATATTTCTTCATGCAGCTCGATTTATTACAGTTGCATCCGCTTTTGTTGGGGTCCTCCTACAAGAAGAATATCATTAATATCGAATCAAGTTTTAATTTATATAAGGTGTAGAATCAGAATTTCTTACAACTTTAGGCACAATCTTCTGGCGAGCTTCCAGGACTTTATCTTTATTAATATGTTTATTCAAGCAGTTTTGACACGAGCAAGGTCCTGTGCAGTAAACTCCAGCAGCAAAGCACTCACAATAACTGTAAAATATATATAAATTAAGCTCATTAACAACTTGTATTAGTAGCTTAATCTTGGTGTTGTCACCCAAAAAAAGAAGCAGTTTTTAAAACTTACAGTTTCAAACATTTTGATTTTATACATTTGCAGTTATTGCATGGTCCTTCTTCCTTGTGGCTGTAAAATTTAACTTTGGTGTTAGGCTAATGAAGAAAAATAAAAACTAAAAAAAATGGAATAAAGATAATCAACAACTACCATTTCATCTTCTTTTTCAGGACACTCTTATAGAAATCAGCACTTTCCTCCTGATTTTCATTTGTTAAGCAAGAAGCATCCAGATCAATCTGACACATCCTCTTCCTTTTCAAGTTTGGAGGATTCAACTGTTTATTTGTTAGGTCCTGAAATGGCATTATGAGACTACTCCCACGCATTTTATTACGAGCATTCTTCCGCTCATCAGATTTTGCTGTATAGGAACATATGTTTGTAGTGGTAGTGATCATCCTATTCTCTAGCCTATCTAGAACGAGCCCTTGCATACCGCGTCTGATACGAGCAACCTATATATCAAAACAAAAGTATTTGTTTAGAATGACTGATTTGTTCAACACATTTACACAAGTAGAAAGAAATTGAAGATTTATAAAGTACAAAAGATCAGGATAACATTGTTATGACGTGCAATACAAAATGCAGCAAATTTTATAATAATTCTTTCTATCGGAGTGATGCGAATAGATTTGATTTTCTCACCTCATCATTCCATCTCTCAATTAGATTTCTATCCATTAAAGTTAATGATTGCATTTCACTTGTAATGTTTTTTCCATCACAATCTGGAACTTCAATGTTTGCCTCAATCTGACCTACTTCCTGAATATGATTTCCTCCCTCAAATGAATCTTTCCTAGAACCATCTTGTACATAGGAATATTCTGTGGGAATTACTTTATCAGCTTCTTGATGTGAATGTATTTTATTTGCATCATTAGACAAAACTCCAAGCATTAATGTGTCCAAAGAGTTATTTCTAGCAATGAATACAAGAGAGGTATCAAATAAACAGAAACATCAATTATGTAACTCACAATCATCTATAAACAAGAATAGAATATTTACAAGTACCTTATGGGGACAATGGATTCATCATATAAGGTGAGATAGGATGATAAGACATCATCAAATGATGAAGGAGGAGAAGAATCAAAGGCAAGTGAATTCAAAGATGCTCCAACATATTTATGCAAAGCCTCATTCTGCATATGGCCAACCAAAAAAATATGAAAAAGATTAATTGAGAAAATTGCATGCACACACGACCTGAAATGTCAAATCTACTAAGGCCTATTTTAAACATTTCAATTTATAAACATGCGGGTTATTAAAGCCTAAGTCTATTAGGGTTTAAGGAGAAAATGTACATGAATAATAAAAAGCACATGAAGTAAAAAATTGCAAGAGCACTAAAAATTGAGTGTACATTGAATAAACATTGAAAGAACAGTATAAAACTGAATTCCTTTTTATTAAACTATTCATTATTTTACAACATTGAAAATTACTAGCTATTATTAACACATGCAATGCAACAAAATGAAGGTTGATAACAAACAAACCTCTTTGGGAAGAGGTGGTGGTGCCTTCATCTCCAACAAGAATAAACTTTTTACTCGTATTATAAGTTACACTAATTAACACTTTAAATAATTGGAGTGTAGTGAGTTTCGTATTTATATACTAAAATAAAAATCTCAAAGTCAAACCTTAACAAACTCAAATCTTAAAAAGAGTAACAACCTTCCTAATATCTTATCTTATTTTATAAATTTGAAAAGAAAAAAAAAATGAGAATTTTCGCAAGAAGTTTGGGGGAGCATGGTCCGTAGATTAAAAGAGTAATCAATGGAAAGCTTAACATGAATGTTCCACCAGATATTTAGCACAAATTGAAATTGATAAATCAATGAGCACGTGAGTAAATCAACCTAATATATCAAAAGCATTAGATTAATAAAAAATGGATGGTTTAGATTTTGGGGTCAAACTGAATTTTGACACCAATGTCAAGGTATCCTAACTTTTATATTTATACGTAGCATAAATATCTCAACAAACTAAATATATGAATTTTTATTAGGAAAAAATTTAAATACAATTTACTATTTTTTAATAAAAATATGACAAGTATAAAGAATTTTCTTACACATATATAATTAATTGTCTTCTATTTTTATTCTTTAAAAAATATTTAAGCACACTTATCATTTTTTATTGGAAAATAGTAAAAACCACACATATTCAATTGTAGGTAAATCTTCTCCTTTTTATTATGTCCAACAATTTTTTAAATTTTAATTATTATATAGTTTTAAGTAAATTATTATTTCATAAAAAACTCTCTTTTTTAATTTATTTTCTACTTCTAAATTAATTGGTTTTTATTTTGAAAAAATATTGTTTAAATATGGTATAATTATATCAAGAAATGATGTAAATATATCAAAAACAAGTCATACATTATTTTAATACTAATCAATATCATTTTTATTCTATTTTAAATTAAATTTGAAATAACTTTTTATTCTATAAAAATATTTATTATTAATATTATTATTATTATTAAAAAAATATTTATTAGCAAGAAAGTATAAAATCAAGAAAGGTAAGAATTAAAATTCAACCATTCATCATTACCGGGTTTTTTTTTGGAATAACCAGGTATTAAAAAAATCACAAATAATCATGTTTCGGAGAAAATTACGCAAATAACCTTGTTTCAGAAAACCCCACAAGGGAGGAGCCAGCCCAGTTGGTGCATCCACTCCCCATTTTGCCCGAGGCGCCATCCCACTTGGCGCCTCCTCTCTCTTTTAGCCAAGTAAGATGAAGCATGCACTTTAAAAGTGAGAGGAGGCGCCATTTCACTTGGCTCCTAGGGCAAAATGTTATTTTAATAAATAATTCGTTCGTTTCTCCGTCACTCCTCACACTTTCTCGCACTGTTCTCTTATTTTTAATCTGTTATTTGCATCATGACATCGCCCATGATTTTTACCAGAGATGGTTACGTTATTTTCTCCGCCACAAAACCTCCGATGAAAATAAAATTCTGGCACATTCACTCCATGGAGCGTCTGAAGAGAGAGTTGATGTGATGGCTAGAGAGAGACATCGAGGAGGGGGAACAAATTAGAAGGATCTAGCGAAGACGAACAACAACCTCACTTGCGACAAGAAGACCTAATTTTTGGTTGGAGGAAGTCAAAACAAACAGCGACGTAACGTTAGTGATGCATGGGTCAGATGAAAATATTTTAACGGTTGTAATTTCATAGACGGTTTATCGTGTTTTATTTCTTGTTCGCACAATGTTTATTGTAACAAATACTGTTAACGAAAAACCCTAATGTTTACAACTTAATAAAGGAAAGATTTTTTGTAATACAATTTTTATGTGGTTGAGCCAGTAGCCCGAATCGGACAATTTTTGCGATTGTGTCCGACCTGACGACATAAACCATACTTTATTTCCAGCTTGTCAAGGGAGTCCATTTCAGTTGTGATGCGCTTACTTTTGGGATGACCATTTTTATTCCTTCGCATTTGGTCATTGTGACATACTATTTCGCCGTCGTATGCAGGCTAATAATCAGGTTTTGCTACCAAAGGGAAGATGTTGTTGTATACGTTGAGCAAGGTTTCAGATTTGTAAATGGGAGACAGAAGTTGTAACGCGTCTTGATGAGTATAGGCACACGCGACAATGACATGAGAGTAAGGCATACGAAAGTCTTGAAACTTGCCACAATCGCACCAACGAGAAGGTAGTATAACCCTATACTCTTGTCTTGGCAGGCCATCATTGTGGTCGATTGTCTCTTTGACAATGAAGTTGTGGTTGTGCCGGTCAAACTGTATAACCAGATGGGTGTTGGCTTTGGAACTTTCTGCCTTAATGTACTTCATGCATCTTTCACTCCATAGTTGTCCAAATTGCAACACAGCATTCCATATTTCACCTATTTTGGCAAACAACGAAGTCATCCTAAAATATGTTGATTTAACCAAAGCAGTAACTGGGAGGTTTCGTATGCCTTTGAATACCCCATTCATTGATTCAATTATATTTGTTGTCATGTGGCCCCGTCTTTGTCCATTGTCGTGTGACCTGGTCCATTTTTCTACCAGAATATTATCGATCCACCTACCGGCTTCCGGATTTGACAAACGGATCTTGTTGCGATAATATTTAAACGTAGTTTGTGTCAATGCATATCCCACATTCATAACCGCTTTCCTAAGAGCTTTGTCTTTGATCTCCCTCGTGAAATTTTAGACGATATGTCTAATGCAATAGACATGCGTAGAAGGAGGGTCATGCCAACCGTTTGCAAGATTCTTGTATGCACTTTCAATGGATGCATGTTTATCAGAGATCAAACTGAGATCTGGTTGAGGAGCTACGTGTGTTCAGAGATTCTTGAGAAAAAAGCTCCAAGCACCACCAGTCTCCCCCTCGACTAGGGCAAAAGCAATTGGGCTAATGTTGTTGTTGCCATCTTGTGCAACTGCCATCAGTAGCGTGCCTTTGTATTTCCCATACAACCAAGTCCCATCAATTTGTATAATTGGTTTGCATGATGCAAACCCTGTGATGCAAGGTTGAAAAGCCCAAAACACTCGACTGAATATTCCATTTTCGTTGAGTTGACTACCATCCGGGGCATATGTTGGCACTGTTTCCAGAATGTAAACAATACCCGAAGAATAAGTCTGGAGAGCATTCAGGTAGTGAGGAAGTTCTTGGTATGACTCCTCCCAGTTTCCATATACCTTTTCAATCGCCATGGTCTTTTCTAACCACGCCTTTTGGTAAGACGGAGTATAGTTAAATACCATAGTGATGAGGGAGATTATGGTTATCACCTTCAATGATGGATCGTTGCTGACGAGTGGTAAGATTTCTTGACAAATGAGATCATAATTTAATTTCCGATGATCCTGTGATTGAGTAGAACTGACACAAGTGTGGGTAGACATAGAACCTATGACCCAACTATCACCTCTTAATTTGTATGATGCAGTGAGCTTGAACATACAATCTGGGTGGACACACTTGATCTTGTACCTTTCTGGATTTACACAGTCCACCTTAAAATCGACCGAGTTCAGCATGTGAAATTTTTTGATGGCTCTGATACATTCTTCTCTGTTATGAAATTTATCTTTCTCTTTTAAGTTTTCATCCGACTGCATATACGGATTGAAAAATAAATCAGAAGATGGTTCATCTCCACCCATGTTGAAGTTTGTTATGTGCGGAGGTGGTGTGTAGATCTTGTTTGAAGGAATACCAGGTATGCCATCGTCTTCGGAATAATCGTTGACCATGTCGTCAAACTCCAACTCATCATCTTCTTCTTCTTTATCAACAACATCTACTTCTGCTTGTTCGGTCTCGAGAGGATCAACCACTTGTGACAGTTGAGGCTCTCGCAACATAATGTACAACTCAATAGAGTCGTACCCAGAATACTCATGACTGGAAAACATATTTTGAAGGTCCTCGTCATCTTGAACCTCAACCTTATAAAATATTATTTGGTTGTTACAAAAAAAACCGGATTCTGATAAAATATTTGTGTCACGGGACCTCGTCCAAGTTTGGCCTCCAATCGTTTTTTGAAGTACAAGAAATTGGCTTTCTTGTTTAAACAAAATCAGATGTTCTCAGTGTCTCCAAACAAAAACCCAGAGGTGAGACAAATGTATATCTCACCGTTGAAATGTGCACTGATCACATATTGGGGTGCAGAGGCCATTGTGTATTACTGTTTGAAGGTTTGAATTTTATGAGTTAATTGCTGGAATTTTTGAATGTTCTAGTGTTTGAGAGATTAAGTGTATTAGTGTTTTGATAAATGTAAGATTAAATAGGTTGTAATAAATTTGAATAAACTAACAGTAAGCAATCTCCAAGGATGTCACCTAGCCTGCACCTACACTGCAATCTCTAAGGCGCCTCCCATCACGTCCAATCGTGTTACATGCATGTAGAGATGCCTTCTCCAAGGCTTTCACCTAGCCTACACCTACACTACAATTCATTCCACCTCTTATTCTCCAACAGGGATGGCGACACCTTTCATTTTTGTACTCTTACGCCAAGTCCAATAGCGCCTACCTTCACGTCCAATCGTGTTACATGCATTCAGAGATGCCTTCTCCAAGGTTGTCACCAAGCCTGCACCTACACTGTAACCCATGCCAACCTCTAAGGCGCCTCCCATCACGTCCAATCGTGTTACATGCATGCAGAGATGCCTTCTCCAAGGCTGTCACCTAGCATGCGCCTACAGTGCAACACATGCCACCTCTTATTCTCCAACAGGGATGGCGACACCTTTCATTTTTGTACTCTTACGCCAAGTCCAATGGCGCCTACCTTCATGTCCAATCGTGTTACATGCATTCAGAGATGCCTACTCCAAGGCTGTCACCTAGCCTTAACCTACACTGCAACCCATGCCAACCTCTAAGGCGTCTCCCATCACGTCCAATTGTGTTACATGCATGCAGAGATGCCTTCTCCAAGGCTATCACCTAGCCTGTGCCTACACTGCAACCCATGCCACCTCTTATCCTC